AGGATGAAGTCGGAGATGTCCCTTTTCCAGATGAGTACTCAAAAACAGGCACGAAAAAAGTATGGGCTCGATTTTTTGACTGACCATTTTCAAACACATTTGGACTATTTTTCATTTTCCGTCCACAGCCCGCCTGTAGGAGGACACGCCCGACCTAGTCATAGGAGCGCTGGACTGCCCCGTCGGGGGCCAATCGGCGATGAGTGGTCGATTCCAGGGCAGCGTTTCCCCCTCTCGGCCGCGTCTGCCCCCCCCCCCCCGTTCGGCGCCCCCCTTCTTGGCATCGCTCCGCCGTGTGCACCTTTCCCGGGCAAGGGCCATCGAGGAGCATCTCGAATCATCTCGCGGACAAGAAGCGCACAGAACCAGCAGATGCACGGGTAATGGACGTCCGAGCGATGGCACCGCTCGACCCTCCTGATGTCTGGGTCATGGGCACTTCGCCCGCAGACTCCTGGAGGCATGAAGGCCAAGGCTGGCTGGAGGCCCGCTCGGCGGACTCCAGGCCCCGCGGGGGCGCGGGGACGGTTCCTCGGAGGACGCCCTGTCTATTCTCATGCGGGTGGCTCTGAGTGCGCAAGCTCTGGCAGCCTGGTTGGAGAATGTCGGCGTGCCCGCCCCCTCTGCCAAGCGATGTCAAGTCCCCCCCCCGTGCCATCGCTCGGACGTCCATTCCCCGTGCACGTGTTCGTTCTGTACGCTTCTTCTCCGCGAGATGATTCGAGATGCTCCTCGATGGTCCTTACCCCCGGAAGACCCACACGGCCGAGTGATGCCAGGTCTTCCCCACCCCACTCGCTGCGTCGGGCAACCGCGAGATGATTCGAGAAGCTCCTCGATGGTCCTCACCCCCGGAAGAAGCGCACGGCCGAGAGGTGCCGAGTTTTCCCCACCACACTCACTGCGTCGGGCAACCCAACAAAGCCACTGTCGGCCCCCGGGGGGGGGGGGCCGCCTGGGGCCCAGAGGAGGCCTTCTCCGGCGAGGGCCTGGGATGGGACAGCCAGCCCCAGGGGAGGGGTCGAGTCTCGGGGGCTGGGGGTCGCTGACCTGGGGGGGCGACCACGGCGGGGGAGGCATGCGCATCTCGTGCCCTAAGGGCCCCCGCCCCAGGGGATGGGGCCGAGTCTCGGGGGCTGGGGGTCGCTGAGCTGGGGGGGGGCGACCGCGGCGGGGGAGAACTGCGCACCTCGTGCCCTGGAGGCCCCCTGCTGGGCACCGAAGGGCCCCTCTGGGGGCACAGACGCTCCTGTTCTCTGCAGCCCTCGCTGCCCCCTCATTGATCGCCCCCCTTGCGCGAGGCGCAAGGGGGGCCTCGAGGAGACGGGGTCAGTGCAAAGGGGGGTCAGCCAGAGCGCCCGATCGTGCAGGATCCTGAAGAGGCAGGGGTGCACTGACCCGGGTCAGCGCGCAAGATCCTGGATAATTGTGCAGGATCTTGCAGGATCCAACACATCGGGGGTGGACAAACCTCCTACCCTGAAACGTCGATTAGCGAATTGGCCGTTTTCGGTTCGCGAGCGGGCGTCGCGGCCGTCATTTTTGCGGGTCCAGGTCCGTCGGTTTCGGTCCCAGGTCGTTTTCACTCAAGGGTGGTTTACTAAAGGGAGGTGTGTCCACCGCCGACATAGCCCGATTGAACCGGGCTTGCATTGACCCGGGTCAGGCGTCCCCGAGAAATTCTCAGGGGTACGCGGTGCGGAGCATCGCGGCGTCAGGTGTCTGGGAGTGTGTTTCAATGCCTCGGCGAGCGCGCTCTGCAGTCGCCTTGGTCTATGATGTCATCCGCCGTCGAGAAAGAGACGATGCAGGAGGGTGGAGGAAGTCAGTCAGATATATTAATATATGCGAGGATCAGGAAGGGAGAGAGGAAGGAGGGGCACTCAGAGAAACGGATTCTTGACGCGGCGTCTTCGAGTGCGGTTGCGACAGAACACGTATCCCCACCAGCCCGTCCACAAACGATGCCCGCGTAAGCTGAAGTGCAGGCGCTTGCACTGCAGCACATCTGGGGGGCGGCCGGCTTCCTTCGAAGGAGGAGGAAGGACGAGAGGATGGAGGAGGATTTCGGGAGGGATGAGGGCGGCGGCGGAGGCGGAGGGCAGGAGGGCGAGCAGCAGGGAGGGGGAATCGACGGAACATGTTCCCATTCAGCTTCACGTGACCGTAGGTAGGAGGAGGAGGAATATGAGGAAAGGAAGAATTGGTGGATGAGGCGGGGGTGGATGAGGAGGTGGGAGGATGATGATAAGGAGAGGGAGGATAAGAAGGAGGATGAGTAGTAGGGTGGCGGTTGATGAAGGCGATGGCGTCGTCGCCATGTGTCAACTTGAAAGCTTGTGCGGAGCTTTCGCTCTGGTAGCCTCGTGGGGCAATTTTGGGACCCTCTTGCAACAAGTTTCGGAGTTACATGGTCCTGTTTTGTGCCCTGTCTCTCGAGACTCTATCTCAGCGAGGGGTGGCACACCCCCACATCAGAGCCAGAGAGTTCGTCCCTCGGAGATCTCTTGGGACGGGCGATCCGAGTCGTGGTGGGGTCTCTTGAGGGCATGCCAGAAGCTTGTTGACCCATTTGGGTCAGTATTGCGCCATCGTGGAGACCATTTTACGTAGGAGTAGCACAAGTTTGGACCTGCGTAGTCCCACCGCCTTTACCAGGATTTGATCGGAAGGTTAGCACAACGCAGACACACGCAGTGTTTTAGTGAGTTTGGCCTTGACCGAAGGGGGGGGAGCTCCCGCATTAACCTCGCCCCGTCGGAGCCTGATACGTCGCCTGTACTGGGCAGTATCGGAGCCATTTGGAGGCCTCGGAAGCGAGCAGGCGAGACTACAAACGAAGGAGTTGTGTTCCGTCGATGTCCGAAGGTGTGCGGCCTTTGAGAGCATGCTTGGGAGGCTCCGTGGCCTCTTGGTGCGTTCTTGGGACCTCTTGAGGGTTTGATGGAAGCCATCTGAATCAGCGTTCAACTCTGCACATCTACATGTACATATGTATGCACATGCAAATCAGTATATATATATATATATATATACGGATATACAGATATACATACACAGGGCTGAGTACATCGTGTACTCTCTTGCAGGCTATATTGAGCCATCTGCCGTCTGGGAGCCTTGTTCGGCCATTGTTGCATTGTTGACCCTCTACCTCCTCGCGTGGTGGGCCATCCAGACTTTGGGGAGTGGGTTAGGGAACCCCTCTCTCCGAAAGGGGAGAACGTGGTTGGGAGAACGGCCCACGTAAACATTTTATCGCCAGAAGGACCTCAAAGACAAGACACGCCAAGCCAAGGCATTGCAGGACGAGGCAATACGAGACGAGGCAGGGCAAGCGAAAAGGGAAGAGCTGAATTGTTCAGGTGAATCTGTGGACCCACCTTGTGTCAACCGGAGAAGGCTCTGATACAGATGCAGGAGGATGCAGGCGCGGGGACAACGACATGAGGGAAATGCGCCATGTTTTGTCTAAGCGTGTGCGCGGGCAGTGACCGTGTCAAATGAAGCCTGCCGCGTGCAAACGTTTTGCATGTTATAGTTCTGCGTGCGAATGCATCTACAAGGCTCGCGTTGCTTGTCTTGTTCGTGTCTCAGCGCGCCAGGTGCTGGCGACAGGGTCCTGGAGCAGTGGTTCAGGCGACTGCGAGTGTTGTGCCCCAGTACCCTATTCATGCGTTGGGGCCCGAGGTCTCGGAAGTTAACGTGATCGCAGCAGAGGCGTGTAAGAGCCACATGTTTTGATTCGCATGCGCATGCGGACTCACCTATTCGAGCCGCGCACTCAACAAGGATGCCAGCTGCGATACTTCCGCTTATTAGCCACCCGCCCGTTCGATTCCGTTGATCAGAGTAGCATGCGCGTGGGAGTATGATGTCTTCGGTCGGAGATACGAGGGTTAGAAAATGGCTCTGACGGATTATGTTCAGGAGGAGGAGGAACAGTACCAGCCAGTACAAGCTTGGACGATGTGGACCAGACGAACGAGGTGGCTGAGGGATAGGCGGACAGGAAACAGAGTAACTTGATGATCAGGATGAAGAGGCGGACGAAGACGTGGAGGTGGAGCAGAAGGTGGGAAAGGGGGAGGGGGAGGGGAAGGTGGATAATGACGTACGCGCGACAGGCTCCCTGGGGGCGGCCTATTGACCGCCCTCGAGCTGATGCCTTCGGACCAGGGCAGCAACGGCAGACGAGGCGACCCTTTTTCGAGGGGATGCTCCCCCCCTCGATTCCCCTTCCCCCGTCGCCCATTCGCCCGCCACCCCGTTGATCTCCCCCCCCGTCTCCCCCCCTCCCGTTCGCACTCCCCCGCCGCCCTCGCCCTTCCCCACCACTCCGTTTCCGCTTCCCCCCGTGCGCCCACTTCAGCCGACGTGGGAAGGCTTGGGGGGGGGAGCCCAAGAGGGCGTCGAGGGGCCTATCTTGAGCTTCCCCCGGGGACGTCTGGGGCCGCCTGGGTGCTCAGGGCTCAGGGCGGTGCTGGGGCTGGAGACGTCGGAGACGTGCCTGGGACCCATGGGGGCCGTCTGTGGGGCCAGTGAGGTTCTATCGATGGCGAAGTCCGAGCCCTATCGCCGCCGATCAACGATTCAGGCAACTCGATGGGCGACGAGGACACGATTCAGAATTCGTCAAGCACGAGGCGACATTCGAGCCCTACCCCCGCCTCCCATCGATCCAGGAGCATCGATGGTTGGTGGGGGGCAGGGCTCGGATGCCGCCGCCCGACCCGCTCCCGCCCGCCCGCCCGGCTCCGACCCCTCTGGCACCGCTCGGACGTGTGCAGATTTCCGTCGGCGAGGACATCGCCGGCCGCGGCCTCTTGTCTTGGCATCGCTCGGACGTGTGCAGTTTTCCTTTGACGAGGACCATCGAGGAGCATCCTTGACCATTTGGCGAAAAAGCCACGCGCACGAAACTGAAAACAAAAGCTCAGGGAACGGACGTCCAAGCGTTGGCCAGACCCCCCCCCTCGCGTCGGGCGAGCGCCGCGCAGGCGCCTGGCTGTTCTGCGGGCGGCACTGGGTGCGGGTGATCGGCCTGCCCCGCGGGCAGGACCGCGGGGAAAGACTTCGAACCGGAGGAGGAGGAGGAGGAGGAGGAGGAGGAGGAGGAGGAGATGAGATGGAGATGGAGATGGAGATGGAGATGGAGGAGGAAAAGAGGAGGAGACCGATGACGACGACGACGAGAACGAGAACGAGGACGGAGAAGAGGGGACGGAAGAAGAGGGAGGGGAGGATGGAGAGGAGGGAGGGAGGAGGACGAGGAGGGGTGGGTGGGTACAGAGGGAGGGGGCTTCGAATCGGGGAAGGAGAAGCGACAACACCACCAAGTGGACCCCCCCATGGCTCCTCTCGCCGGTGGCCCACAGTGGTGGTGATGTCGCTTTCTTTTGCTCCTGTCGACGAAGACAAAACCGCATGAGCCGTCTCCTTCGGAGCTCCGCGCAGACTCCTCGGAGTCGGCGCTGGGGCCCCCCTGGGGGCGCCTCTGGCGACGCCCCCGGCGCGCCAGGGCCAGGGAGGGACGGCCGGCGCCGATCCAAGAAATCCGCGCGAGCCTTCGAAAGTGCACGCTCATGTGCCTGGTGATTTGTTCTTCCAGTCCGGATGGGGCTGGGACGAGCACAACAAGTCCGTTCCAGAGCGTTCGGGAGCGCTCTGGAACGGACTGGCTCTTTTCCAGGGCCGCCGGAGTTCAGAGATTCTCGATGTACCCATGGGTGGATGAAAGTAGGTCTTTTTGGATTCTCATATTCTCATTTAAGCGCCTTCCTACTTCAAAGGTCGAGTGGCTTCACCTTTTCTGTCCTCCTGAGGGGGTGAACGGGAACCAAACTACTTTCAACGTCTTTCTATGTCATGTTGCTACCTGCTTCTTCCGACCGATGGGTATCCTCCCCCGATGTTACCCTTGTCCTGGCCTCGTCTTGAAATCGCTCCTTGCGCCTCGAGGCGAAGGAGCGTGTTGTCGTCAGCACGACGTCCTGGGCCTGCCGGGGAGGCGCGTCGCGCGGGCCGCTTCACTCCCTGAAGGGTCCCAAATCAAAAGGGCGCTAATGCCAAGCAGAGGAGGAGGAGGAGGAGGAGGAGGAGGAGGAGGAGGAGGAAGAGGAGGGAGGAGGGAAGAGGAGGGAGGAAGAGGAAGGAGGAGGAGGAGGACGGAGAACGAGGAGGGAGAACGAGGAGGGAGAACGAGGAGGAGGAGAACGAGGAGGGAGGGAGGAGGAGGAGGAGGAGGAGGGAGGAGGAGGAGCCCTCAGCCCCCCCCCCTTCCCCCCCCCGCCCGCCTCTCGGCCGGCGGGCGCCCCCTCCCTCCCTCGCCCCCCCCTCGGAGATCGAGGAGGAAGCCCGAGGACGAGAAGGAAGTCGGAGATCTCCGAGGAGGCCAAGGAGGATCGGGGGGGGGGGAGACTCGAAGGGGGGAGGACCGGGGGTCGAGGAGCACAGAGGAATACACTCGAGGAGGAAACATCGAGGACCGAGGGCAATTGGATCGAGAATCGAGGAGGAGCTTTGTGGGCCCCGGAAACTGCAGGGCCGTTTTTTCAACGTTTCCAAAAAACATGTCCCTTATTGAAAATGGAAACGGCAAAAAAACGGCAACCTGCAACGGCAGCAAAAACGGCTCCAGGATTGGAACTGGAGCCCGAACCGGTCAAACAACGGCGACGGAACCGGTAAAAAAAGGCGTCGGAACCGGCAAAGAGACGGCAAAACGGAACCGGTAAAACAACGGCCCTGTCGTTTCCAGGGCTCACTAAGAGGAGGAGGAGTCGAGGATCGAGGATCGAGGACGGAGGATCGAGGAGGAGGATTCGAGGCCTCCCCCCCTCCTTCCGCCCTGCCCCTCCGCGGCAGGGCCTGGTCGGCGGGTCCTGCTGCCGGTCGCGGGCGCAGCTGGAGCACATGCGCGGGGCCGGCGCCGTGAGGGAGGAGCTGCGCACCCGGTACGAGGCCCGCGGCCCCCCCTCGGCGGCGAAGCCCGAGCCCTACCCTGAAGTCGGGCCTGTCCCTCTGCAGGAGGAATATTCCCAAAGAGTCAAAAAACAGTGGGGGGACGAGTTTTTGACTATTTTTGTTTGCCCATTCGGAATTTTTGTTTGCCCATTCGGAGGGGTATTTTTGAAGTATTTTTTATTTTTTCGCCCAAAATCCCCCAGTAGGGGGACGCCCGACTCAAGCCTACCCTCGCCGATCAATGGTTCGGGCAACTCGACGGGCGGCGCTCCAGGTCTGTTCACGGAAGCCCTGGGCGGCGGCAGTGAAGTCAGCTCGTCTTGCGTCTGGACCACATTTGGTTTGGATCTGCCTCTTGTTCCTCGCCCTTCCTGTTCCTCCTGCCCTCTTCGTTCTGCTCGTCTCCCTTGTGAAATGGTTCTTCTCGTCTTCCTTGTGAAATGGTGAATCTAGTCCAAATCTGGTCCCAAATGTGTTCCAACGATGGCCCAAATCTGACCCAAGTCGGACAGCGCCAGGGGTCAGGCAGGCTCCCATGCAACGGATACCAACCGGCGGGGTTCGGGATTCAGAATTCATCGAACACGTTGCGAAATCCGAGGCTCGCTCCCGTCTTCCATCGACTCGGGAGGATCGATGGTTGGTGGGGGTCTTGGCACCGTTTGGGCGTGGTTTACGCTTCGCGAATCCTCGCCAGCCCATTCAGAAGCCCTGCCCACGAGAGTTGACGGGAAATGGAAAGCAGAGACGCACATAGTGAAACAGTGCGGTCAGAGAGAGGAGGGGGAGGAACGTGTTGAGCCATGTTGGAGGCTATCTTGGAGCATCGGAGGCCTTCTTGAAGCTATGGGGCTTGTTGGGTGGATCTTGGGGTCCTATTGGGCTCTTTTGGAGTTTTGGGGATCTTGGGGTCCTCATGGGGGCTCTTTTGAAGCGTCTTGGGGCCCTCTTTGGGCTCCTCTTGAGGCCCTCTTGGGGCTCTCTTGGAGCTCCCCTGGGAGCTTCGAAGGCCTCCTGTGGCCTCTTTTGGAGGCCATTGATCAAAAGGGAGGGGGTTCCTTATCTAGCCGCCCCACCCCCCTAAGAGCCCTTGGGGCACTCTTGGGGCGCTTTGGGGGCGATTGGGAGCTCTTGGGGCCGTCTTGGGGGCCTCTGGGGCCCCTCTTGGAGCTCTCTTGGGCCATCCCCGGGACATCGAAGCGCATTGGAAGCGAAGAGGCGAGAAGGCCAGCATCATCGATGTTCCGTATGCTTTTGAAGGTTGTTGGTTTCTCGGGGAGGTCCTGAGGGGTCGTCAATAGCACTTGGATCTGTCTTGTGGCCCTCTTGCGGCCTCTCGGAGGCATGCCCTTAGCTATCTTGAGTCATGTTGGGCTCTCTTGAGCAATCTTGGAGGCCATCCTGGGCTCTCTGGGGCACTCTTGGAACCATCTTGGGCCAAACAAAAAACCCTCTGACACCTCGCGACCCCCCCCCCATTCAGGTCCAGGGGAGGGGGTGGGGGGATCGGTCAGGCTTCCCACCCGCCCGCAAGCCGTCTTGATCACTCCCACCCGCGCTCCCAACACATACGTAATACCCGGGAGTCAGCATACCGCGTAAGAACGCCGCAGACGCCACGGGTTCCAGACGTTCCGGACCATGGAGGCCCACGCGTGCCAGGCGCGCCAGGTGCGGCACATGCTCCACGTGCGCCCAGTGTTCCACGTGCTCCAGCCGCGCCAGGTGCGCCAGCCATTGGGAACCGATAGGGGCTCTTGGGCCCGGCTTTGAGCGTTCTTGGCCAATTTGGGAGCCATGTGGAGGTTTCGAAGCCCCATCGGAAACGGCAAGGCGAAAATGCAGCAGCCACTGATGTGTCAAACCAGTGGTCGACCAGCTGCGCCCAGAAGGCAGGTGGGATCTGCTGGCACTCCAGCCGTCCTGTACAATGCCAATACAAAATGGTCGCGGGGCGGCGGCGTATGCTCCAAATGTGGAGGCAGAGTTTGCGTCGTATTGTTTTTTGACAGGGATGGTGGGGGCGGGGCCCTCATGGGGTTGGCATGGTTCCGGGTTGGCCGCCAGCCGGGTGGGGGAGGGGGGTATATTCATGGGGAACAGTGGTCAACCCACGAAGGGGCGGCTCTTGGAAGATGGAAGGACGCCATCATTAGACCGCCTGCGCCCAGCCAGAGGGCAGTCGACATTTTCTCGGCGATGACCATCGAAGAGCCTTTGGGGATCGCCTTGCGATGTAGTGCACGCACGACGCCGACAAAAATGCACGGGGGTTGGACGTCCGAGCGATGGCGACCCCCAATCGCCCAGTGATCGCCGATAGGGGCCCGATAGCACCGACCTGGCTTGCCCAGGAAGGTGCGGATTCACCATCGGGGGCCTATCGCCGATCTGTCGGCGATGTATCGCCGATTCCAGGTCGATATGTCCCCCCCTATGCCAGTCCCCCCATCTCGCTCCCCCTCATCCGAACAGGGCTTACGTGGTAGCCATTTGGATGAATTGTTGATGCCGATCTTGTTCTTGTGGGTTCGTGGGCTTCGCCCTGAAGGGTGGCTGGTTCTTCCCCGAGCAGCGCTGGCATCATGGGATACGCATGCCGTCAGTCACCGTCGGTCCGCGAGGAAGCTTGCTTACACTTGAAGCTTGAAGCTTGCTTACTCCATCTTTCGTTATATACGAGGGAGGGGGGTCAAAACCCTCCCAGACGAGCAGTTTTAGACCCCCTCCCCCAGACCAGCCATGAAAGGGCGGCCTTTTGTCCAGATCCCGCGGAACCCTTCAAGGCAGCTCCAAGCAGACCCACCCCCAAATCAGACCACCCCCTTTATGTGTCGTCCAAATTTCCCCTGTAGGGGGACAGGCCCGACCTAATTCATGCAAAACGCTGTTGGCTCATCACGTGGGCTGGATTCGAACAATCGTTGACGCTTCCTGTGTCCCCAACCGCCCGTCCAGAAGCGATGCCCACGAGAGCTGTCGGGAGGAAGCAGGAAGAGACAGCTCTCATGATGGGTCAATTTTCCAGCACCGCTACCATAAGTAGGGCGGGGGAAAAGGGAGGATGGGGAGGTCCTCATCATCCTCATGCTCATCATGCTCATCATCATCATCATCATCATCATCAGCAGCATCAGCATCATCATCATCATCATCATCAGCAGCAGCAGCAGCAGCAGCAGCAGCATCAGCATCAGCATCAGCATCAGCATCAGCATCAGCAGCATCATCAGCAGCATCATCATTTCCATCATCCTCATCAGCAGCATCATCATCATCCTCTTCCTCCTCCTCCTCCTCCTCCTCCTCCTCCTCTTTCTCCTCCTCCTGCTCCGCCTCCTCCTCCTCCTCCTCCTCCTCCTGGGTATATACTCGGCGCACGCCTCTGTTCTTCGGATGCGGATGGCGTGGCGTCGGACGCCTCAGCCTCCAAGGCGTCCGATGTTGAAGCCGAGGAGGCCGACCTCGACCGCCATCAGGGCTCGGTTTCATCTCATCTCACCTCCTCCCTCTCCTACCTATTGTAGTGGTGGTGAAACATGTGCCCATCAACTAAGCAGGCTGGGTCACCCGAGGTCCTGGGTGCCAGCTTGGTGGTGTCGTGCGCGCGCGGCTGTGTCGCACCCCGCGCCCACCTGCCCGGTTGTGCGGGCCCGTGTCGCTTCTCGGGTCCACGATGCCTCCTCGAGCTTGGGTCGGAGGAAGTCTCGAGCGCGAGGGGCTGACCACACCACCAGGAGGGCCCTCCCTTGCGGCTCGCAGTGGTCGGTGGTGGAGTCGCATCGCGGGTCGCGCGCTCGAGAGGGGGGTGGGAGGTCAGGGTACTGGAGTGTGAGGTCGACGGTGCTTGATCGCGGGAGCGGGTGAGGGCAACCATGTTGGGCGTCGCGGAAGGGGGGGCGGGTGAGTGTGGTGGGGGGGGGCTGCGATGGCCGCAGGAAAGGGGTCCTTGGGGGCCCCTCCAGGGGCCCTTCAGGGCCCCAGAGGGGGCATTTGCGTCCCGAAGGGTGCACTACCTTTCTCCCCCCCATGTATCGCCCCCAGCATGCGACGCCCAGTCATGGGCGGCAGGGAGGAACGGGACGAGGCTGGTGCAGGTCGAGGGGTGCCGTGGCGGGGATGTGCATGGAAGGTGATGGGGAGACAGCCGGGTAGGGCAGGCGGGGAGATCCATGGAAGCGCAAACATAGATTCAGGCGCGTGGATCAGCGACGGGTCCCGATCCGTACAGGATCGGCGCGATCCGTCGCCAAATCGGGCGGCCCTGGCCCCATACGCTAGATCCACGGCTCTCGAATCCATGCCAGAGCAGCAGAAGTCCAGCAGCCGCGCGACCGTGGCCCCTCCATGCTGCCTAACTCGGTGTGCCGGCACCCTCCCCTCCTCTCTCCTCCCTCCCTCCCTCCCACCTCCCTCCTCCCTCCGCCCTCCGCCCTCCTCCCTCCTCCCTCCCTCCCTCCCTACTCCCTCCCTCCTGCCACCTCCCCCCTCGAGAGGATGCCTCGCCTGGGCGACGAGGGGTCGGCAGGAGGTCCGCGGAGGGAACGGGGCAGCTGTCCGTGCCCCCCAGGGCGCCCGGGGCCCCCATGCCGATCGGGTGTGCCGCTGGTTGTGCTTCCGCTGCCGTGCGCCCGCCGCGTCCCTCGGAGGCGACGATAGGGGTTAATGACCCAGGGGCGGGCATTACGTGTACTCGCCCGGGAGCCTCGCGGAGGGCATGCATCATCGGCGCCCTTGGATGCATGTGCTGCTCTCCCCTGGGCTATTCGCCCCCATCGTCGTCCCAGGGCCCCCCCCTTCCCCTCCTCTCCCTTTCTCGCCTTTCGACTTCGTTTTGCCGTAGGGCAGTCCTGTTGGCAAGCAGTGGAAGTGCTTGCCATCTCGGGCCTCCCGGCGCCTTCTCCCTTCGTCTCGCCGCAGGGCAGTCCTGTGCGCCGGTAGGGAAAGTGTTCACCTTTGCCGGCCTCCTGGGAGTCCAGAGTCACCGAGGTTCTGGTCAGAACGCACCCCAGGATGGGTTCGTGGAGTGACGTGACGTATTCGACTGCTCGACCCTTCGCCGGAGTTCCCTCCCGTTGCGGGCTCGCAGGGGCCCTCCGGCGCTGGCCTGCGCGACCCTCTGAAGCCGCGCACCAAAGGCCACCCTTGCCCACGGACGCTCTCGCGTGCAGTCGACGTATCGGTTGCTCGTGTCTCCCCCAGCGACGGCGGCCGCCGGGGCAGGCCCTCAGCGGCGTGCTGGAGGCCCCCGGCGTGCTGAAGATGCACGGCAGCACCGCCGCCGAGCCGCCGGAGTCAGGCGCGCGCGGCGCGGCCGCCGCGGCGAGTTCGGGCGGCGCGAGGATGAGGAGAAGGAGGACGAGGAGGAGGAGGAGGAGGAGGAGGAGGAGGAGGAGGATCTTGCCCCATCTGCCGCCTCGGCCTCGTTGATCCCTCCGACGACCCGTCTCTCCTGCTCCCCGTCGCGCCCTATCTTCTTTTCATCCGCTTGCTGTCGCTCGAGCCTCCGAACCCGAGCGCAGTTGCAGAGGCAACCACGTTTACCGCCATCAGAGCCGTTCTCAAGCGGCGAGCGGGTGCCCAACGGCAGCAGCGATGATAGACGTTGTGGCACGCCGCGGCGACATGAGAGGAAGGAGGAGGAGGAGGAGGAGGATTTCTGCCGAATGATGATTGTAGTGGCCTCCAGCCAGTTCCGCCGATGCGGGGCGCTCCGGATGATGATGATGATGAT